GAGGGGATGGACTTCATGAAAACACATTTTAAAAAACTGAAACTGGCTAGATTTCTGTTGGTTATGGGATCAAGCTCTTAAGAGTTTCTCAATAGAAAATTGGGATCCTTTTCTTTCCAGAAGCAAATCACATAGACAGAACACACTGACAGATCATCTGGCTGTTTGAAAAGGGGTAAAGCCCCCTTCTCAGATGTTTCTAATTCTTAGATGCCAATCCAATAAAGTCGCATCCACCATTGTGCTATTCTCATCGTTTGTGCTGAAGTGTTATTTGGATGGCTTTGCTTAACTTGAACAGAAATGTTTCCCATTCTCTTGTTTCAATGAAAGCCTAAAAAAATTAAGTTGCTGTCTTGCTGGGTGAGAAGAGAGAGCTTCCTCATTTTTGCCAATCCAATAAAGTCGCATCCACCATTGTGCTATTCTCATCGTTTGTGCTGAAGTGTTATTTGGATGGCTTTGCTTAACTTGAACAGAAATGTTTCCCATTCTCTTGTTTCAACGAAAGCCTAAAAAAATTAAGTTGCTGTCTTGCTGGGTGAGAAGAGAGAGTTTCCTCATTTTTTGCATAGAAGGATGAGATAAGTGTGGGTTTACATTCCTGGTCCTGCATCATGGGGGACTTAAAAAAAGAAACAAAATATCCCCCTCTAGTGGTCGAAGGCGGAATAGTAGCTTCCCATTAGTTTCTATGGACGGAAAAGAGCAGATACGGATCAAATGGTTTTCAATGCATTCCTATGGGAAATGCAGATTTGACCTGAGAACTTTTTGACTTGAGAACCGCCTTCCAATACAGATTAAGTTCTCAAGTCAAGACCCCACTGTAGAAGGATGAGATAAGTGTGGGTTTACACTCCTAGACCTGCATCATGGGGGACTTTAAAGATTTCCACCACCAAGTTGATTCTGGCTCAGAAACTAACCGGGCATTCCTTCCGGATTTGTTGTGTCTTCCTTTAGCTTCACTCGTCCAGGGAAAGGCTCGTGGCTTGGAAAAAGCAGCATGGAAATGGGTCCAGACCTGACTGGGATGTCGCTGGAAAATTTGGTGTTTGGAGCTGGCTACTGCAAACCTGCCGCATCAGAGGTAGGGGGCAGCTGCTCACTTGCAAAGGTGAATTTGGACCCCTCTAGATTATTATAGCTCTCTAAGATGGAGATGGACCTCTCTTGGTAGGATCCGCAGATTGATGAGAGAGGTGAGTTTGTGGTCTGCTCTTCCCCCACCAACAGTAAGGCAAGGAATGAGCACTCCAGGCTTCTTGCATTCCTTCATTTGTTGAACTTGTGATTGATGGAGCTTTGTGCTGAAAAGACCAGTTCTTATTCAGCAAAATGGATGCCAGCCTGCTCCCTTCCCAATGCCCTGTCAGCTGAGAGGCATGCATATGGGAAGCCAACCTGCTTTCTCTCAAGATGGCAGTGGCGGTGAAGGAGGACATGGTGGCAGGTGGAGAGGGCACCAGGGCAGCTGAAAAGGGGTGTGCGGGTGAAAGAGGGGGCAAAGGGAAAAGGTTCCCCTCCCGACAGGCATGAACTGGAAAAGTGAATCCCACACTGGTTCATTTTTCTGTGGTTCATGCATCACGAACCACTGGTTTTCTGGTGCATGCCTCTGTCTGCTTCCACCCAAACATAGGGAAGTCTGCAGTTATATCCCTGTCTGTGTGTAATTTTGCTTCTTCACATTCACGGTTCCTCACACCCAACTACAAACTGTTTACAAAATCTTACCCTTGTAGTTGTTAACATTCCATTTTCTTCAGCTAAAATACGTGACATCACTTTTCGAGGGCGGAAATGTCTGTGGAAGTCACAACGGAGCTATTTTCTTAAGATTCCCTCATCGTGACACATGGTTCAGAAAATGCTTCAGCAACCGAGAGACAATTGGCAACATTATTTGGTCTAATTTGAGCAACCCAATACGTAGAGACGGTACGTTGACAGAGAACGCTATGCTTAGACTAGACCAACAAGAAAAATGCAGCACTTTTCACAGACAAGTATTATTACTGTCTTCTTAGAAAGCCTACATTTTCTGTGCATTACTGTTTGAGGAATGATGGGGGATGGTGGTGGGAAAAAAGCTCCATTTGTGAACAGATCGGCTCTGACAGGTCAATTTTGATTTCCCCAATTTCGATGACTTATTTATTTGATTTCTTCTGAAGGGGTGGAAGTGCACTGGTGACGATCTGTTTTGCTTTTCTGCTTCCCAAGACTGTGTCGATTACAGGGATAATTGAGATAATGAGCTTGTTTACCAACAGTAGATAGCTTGCTTACTTAACGTTTATTGCTGCTTTTCTTTCTTTGCTTGATGGGGGAGGAGGTTTCAGTGCAACTGCTATTTAGAAGAAGATAGAACCCACTGATTCTGCATTTAGCAACACATAGAAATAGGAAAGGTTGGCCATGAAATGAAGTGCTAATTGATAGCTTTTGATTGGTTTTGGACTGGCTAAATAGCTTAATGTTTCAATTCCCACCTTGTCTCCTATGAGACACAGCCTGTGCAGCCTTGGGCATTCTGCACAATCCCAGGCTACCCCCACAAGAAGGGAATAGTAAACTACTTCTGAGTATTGCATACCTGGAAAACCCTGGAAAGGGTTGCCATAAATCAGAATTGACTTGATAGCACATCATCATCATTACTGAGATATGCAAACCATGCTATCTTTCATAGAATCATAGAAAAGTGAAGTTGGAAGGGGCCTACAAGGGCATCGATTCCAACCCCCTGCTCAGTGCAGGAATACGATCAAAGCAGATCTGCCAGGTGATTATCTAACTTTTTCTTGAATGCCTCCAGTGATGGAGCGCTCACCAACTCCCAAGGCAACTGGTTCCACTCCTAAGCAAATTGTTTTGCAAATCCCCATAATTCCAAAGATTGTTATAATGCATGCACTAGGATGGGGCAGTTACCTGACTCCAGATCACAATGTCATGAAGGATGCATAAAGAACTAGACCTATAATGGACGCATTTTGTTGTACAGTCAGCTTGCCACCATGTTCTTCATGCCGAAAGTGAAGCTGTGTGCTGCTTATATTCTGCCCTGTAGTGCTTAAAGCTTTTTCTGGGTGGTTTGCAATGTCATTGTGCAGGGCAAACATTGCCCTTCCCCAAGCAAGCTGTGTACTGACCTCGGAAGAATGGAAGATTGAGTCATCCTAAAGTCAGCTACCTGAATTCTCCAAGATCAAATGAAGGTCGTAAGCAGAGTCTTTACAGCAGCAGAACAGTATAAAGAGCGCTGCTCCACAGGGCTCCCAAGAGGCTGAACGTCAATCTTAGCTATTCTGGCTTTGGATGTAGAAGGTCAAGTGTCTAAAGGAGCACAACCAGGATGGTAAAGGGTTTGGAAATAAAGCCCTATGAGGAAAGGTTGAAGGAAATTGGCTTGTTTAGCAGAGAGAAGGCTAAGAGGTAGCCATCTTCAAGTATTTGAAGGACTGTCAAGTAGAAGGTGAAGCAAGTTTGTGACGTTTTTTGCAGCTCAAGAGAGCAGAAGTAATGGTTCCAAGTTAGAAGAAAGGAGATTTAAATTCCTAAAAGTGAGAGCCATTTAACGGTGGAATCGGCTACCTTCGGGAAGGAGAAGGAATGGACTTTCCTTCACTGCAGAATTTTAAGCAGAGGTTGGATAGCAACCTGTCAGGGATGTTTCACCCAGGGGTTCCCGTCTGTCTGTCTGTCTGTCTGTCTGTCTGTCTGTCTGTCTGTCTGTCTGTCTGTCTGTCTGTCTGTCTGTCTGTCTGTCTGTCTGTCTGTCTGTCTGTCTGTCTGTCTGTCTGTCTGTCTGTCTGTCTGTCTGTCTGTCTGTCTGTCTGTCTGTCTGTCTGTCTGTCTGTCTGTCTGTCTGTCTGTCTGTCTGTCTGTCTGTCTGTCTGTCTGTCTGTCTGTCTGTCTGTCTGTCTGTCTGTCTGTCTGTCTGTCTGTCTGTCTGTCTGTCTGTCTGTCTGTCTGTCTGTCTGTCTGTCTGTCTGTCTGTCTGTCTGTCTGTCTGTCTGTCTGTCTGTCTGTCTGTCTGTCTGTCTGTCTGTCTGTCTGTCTGTCTGTCTGTCTGTCTGTCTGTCTGTCTGTCTGTCTGTCTGTCTGTCTGTCTGTCTGTCTGTCTGTCTGTCTGTCTGTCTGTCTGTCTGTCTGTCTGTCTGTCTGTCTGTCTGTCTGTCTGTCTGTCTGTCTGTCTGTCTGTCTGTCTGTCTGTCTGTCTGTCTGTCTGTCTGTCTGTCTGTCTGTCTGTCTGTCTGTCTGTCTGTCTGTCTGTCTGTCTGTCTGTCTGTCTGTCTGTCTGTCTGTCTGTCTGTCTGTCTGTCTGTCTGTCTGTCTGTCTGTCTGTCTGTCTGTCTGTCTGTCTGTCTGTCTGTCTGTCTGTCTGTCTGTCTGTCTGTCTGTCTGTCTGTCTGTCTGTCTGTCTGTCTGTCTGTCTGTCTGTCTGTCTGTCTGTCTGTCTGTCTGTCTGTCTGTCTGTCTGTCTGTCTGTCTGTCTGTCTGTCTGTCTATCTATCTATCTATCTATCTATCTATCTATCTATCTATCTATCTATCTATCTATCTGAGAGGGAGAGAGAGAGAGAGAGAATGCATGACATTATTTGAATTTCTTCTTTATTTCTTGTAATTTTAGTAAATGAAACAAATATGGCTACACTTGATGATCTTATGTGCTACTTCAATTTAGAAAACAGCCTCTCTTTTTCACTCTGAGATGCATCACATCTTCTGTATCACAAAGCTGCTCTTTATGTTAACACCTTCTGGTGTGTTCTAGGTCAACAGAGGGTCACCCACTGGAACAAGCTCCAAGCAAATTTCACAGCCACTTTAGCCTAGATAAACAAACAGACACACTGCCTGGTGTGTAGAAGCATCTGTTTCTGATCTGAGCATGTTTTTGCTATTAATACAAGCTGGCTTAGATGCCCTTTTCTGCTGGGCGATGCTTTTTCTGTGGCCTCCATGAAACGCCAAACAAACCAAAGAGATAGGCACTCTGATTTGTCAATAATGCCATAATGTTACTCAGGGATGCTATTAAAATTCTCCTTGGCTGAATTCTTGTATCATTTGCTCATTTAACTATTTAGGTCTTGTTGTGAAAGTAGACTTGACATATTACAACTATTCCCTTGTTCTGGTTGTTGTGGGTTTTTCGGGCTCTTTGGCTGTGTTCTGAAGGTTGGGGTAGAAACTTCAGGAGAAAAAAAGACAAAAGCCATTCCCACGGCTATGAATACTATCCAACAAACACCAACAGAGCATGGACGGAGTTCCTACTCCAGTCCTCTGAAGATGCCGGCCACAGAGACTGCGAAATGTTAGGAAGAACAACCTTCAGAACACGGCCAAAGAGCCTGAAAAACCCACAACAACCATTAGATCCTGGCCGTGAAAGCCTTCGTGAATACATTCTCTTGTTCCATTTTTGTTTTCTTTGTTTTGAACACAGCATACTAGAAGCAGTGATAAGTTCCTATTCCTTCCCATTTCTTGCCAAGTATAGAAGCATAGATCCTTATCATTATCCCATTACTTCAGTGTTTCATCTGTTTGAACAACTTGTCAATAACGTTATTGGTAGATGACTGAAATAAAGGTTTGAATGACCCTTTAAGTGATTAGTGCCAATCTTAATGGGAAGAACGGTTGCCTTTACTTCTTGCTAAGCTGCATCCCTCTCCTGGACATGTGTCCCAACCGTTGTGTGAGTAGATTCAGTCCTAAATGTACAACATAGTCTTATAGGTAAAGGTAAAGTTTCCCCTTGACAATTTTTGTCCAGTCGTGTTTGACTCTAGGGGACGGTGCTCATCCCCATTTCTAAGCCATAGAGGCAGCGTTTGTCTGAAGACAATCTTCTGTGGTCACATGGCCAGTGTGACTTAGACACAGAACGCTGTTACCTTCCCACCGAAGTGGTCCCTATTTATCTACTTGCATTTGCATGCTTTCGAACCGCTAGGTTGGCGGGAGCTGGGACAAGTGATGGGCGCTCACTCCGTCACGTGGATTCGATCTTACGACTGCTTGGTCTTCTGACCCTGCAGCACAGGCTTCTGTGGTTTAGCCCGCAGC